TCTTCTTCTCCTTTTCCTTCTTCTTCTTCTCCTTCTCCTTCTCCTCCTCCTCCTCCTCCTCCTCCTCCTCCTCCTCTTCCTTCTTCTTCCCTTTTCTTTGGAGGGCTTAATACAAATGCTCAAAACAGTGACGAAAAGAACACCAAAAATTCAGCCAATGAATATGTGTGAAGTGTAGGCACTGGGCAAAATCACTGCAGCCGTGGAACTTATGTAATGGGAAAAAAGCAAAACTAAATACAAAATAAAATCACTTTAGAGTCTGAGAAAATGTATGAGGAAAATAAATGAAAGGCCATAGAGATCTATTTTAGAGACAGTGGGGAATATCTGGGGAGGTTCTGTAGGGCATGTGATTAGTATGCTGAATTTGGAAGGTTGAGTTCTCACTCACAGAGCTAAAGCCCTCCAGGCAGAGGGGACAGTCTAGAGGGCAGGAAGCTCCAGGGAGATCCATTCTGTTTCCTTGAAATCAAATAAGCCTTTCAGCTTTTCTTCGGTAAGCTTTATGTAATCAAAAGAAAGTTGGTTTACTGCTTGGAGTCTCCATAGTGCATGAGGTCCTGTGGTTTGGGGGATGAAAGGGTGGGTCTCTGTTCACTTTCACATGGTGTTGTAAAGCTGTCTTTCTTCCTGCACTCCTCTTCTTTTGCCCTGCCTCATTAGTTGTTTTGCATATGATCATTGCAATTTAATAACATCTAATGACACTTCTCTGCCAATTTTATTGCCAACTACACTTGGAACTTAACCCAGATGCAAGTAGTAAGGAGAGGGCAGCCAAGGCCTCCAGGTTGCCAGTTACTTGGCTAGAAATCCCATTCATGTTGGGAAACAGATTTTTAAAATAAATTTGGCACTGGAAGCCCCACCATCCTTTTGTAAAGCCTGTGTCAATAACCATAAACCCAAGAGCCATGCTCTCCAACCCTCAGTCAAACTGACAGATATTTCAGCATCAGCAAATCCTCAGGATGCCACCTTCTGCTGACCCTGTGGGCTTCTCGTGCTGTTTGGGTTGGCACTGGAGCATGACCTTCTGTTTTATGTAATAAGATGCAGCAGAGAAGCCCTTGTGCTCAGCCTGTCTGAGTGGGTGCTGGGCAAGACCTCTTGTGGACCCCATCATTTTCCATATAGTCAAAGCTAATGAATGTTTTTGTGGCCTGGGAAATGTTTTCTAACTGTCAGCAAAGGATTTTTTTTTTTCCGTGCCATTTTGATCTAGGCCAGGATTATAATGACCCGGCTTTGGTTTAAGATGAATTTTGCAAATGTACATGTGTGTTGATCCTACACTATTTTAGATGTGACACGGGCTGATGTAATACCGTGTTGCATGTCTTCCCTTTTTTGCACTTGGCAGAAATGTACAGAATTCTCTCTCTGAGAAGGCTTGGTGCTAGCATCTGACAGAACATAATGCCTGTTTTCTAAGTTTTCATTTTCGCTTTAATATTCACGAGAAAAGACTGTTTAATGTAGTTGGCCACTCAGCTTTATTAGTCATATTGTTCCCTCTATTAATTTCTTTTTACAACACAGTGTTCAATGTCAGCGTCAGGTGTTGGCAACCTTCCTAGGGGGAACAGATTGCTGTGAAATAAACACAGCTGGAAACTGACCACGTATTGTTTTTCTTTTAAAAAATGAAAGCGCCCACTCTTATAAAAAGGCTGGAGAACATTGGACTGTCCAGAATTACTTTATAGATTTATTTTGCCAAGTCTGGTTAATGATTAATGTCACGCCTGGGTGTCTGAAAGGACCCACTTCCCTTCTCCCTCCCCCAGCGGCAGTTTCTTGGGAACAATGAACTCCTGGAGGTTTATGCAGTTCTAACTTGAGCAGGAGGTGGAGTCTGTTCTGTTCCTTTCCTCCCACTGAAGTGTGTGGTCTTTAGAGTTAAGAATGACTTCTCTGGAGTTTTCATCTGCTGGCCTTCCTTGGAGCCCTAAAAACCTCACCAGAGTTGTTGCTTCTTTCAGAGATGGGCAAGTAAGCAAATTCTGGAATGTTTGTATGCATGCTTGTGTTTATCACTGGTGTTTTATTTGGTCTGTTTCTTGAAGGCAGGGTATTTCCTCACACTGTAGTTCAACTAGGTTTTGTGCCTCCAGGAACTTTTTTTCTTTTTGTTGTCAGGAGTGGAAATGCCTTGAAATATTAGACTGAAAAGTTTGAAGACTATGCAAATCTTCAACTTCTATATAGTGAGGAATCACAGTCAGCAGACAAGGAGCTGGCTATTTCACCAGGAGACAGCAAATTCAGGGAAGAATGATGGGGATGTCTTGGGCAGGGTGGGTGGCTGAATGTCCAGGTGAAGTGGGGAGGGATCAAAGGGCTTTCTTCTCCCACTTGGAAAACTTTATTGGTTGTTTTGGTCATTTATTACTGTGGCTTCTGAGCCAAAATCACTCTCTCTCTCTTATTTGAATATATATTTTGATGATTTGTTGAGTTATGATTTGATAATTAATTGCTATTAAAGAGTGTTCCTAATTAATTGCTGTGTTAAAGTTTTTCTAGGGAGTTTTGCTAAATAAATAGTAATCTCTCTTTATATCTATCTTACAGAAAGTGATTTAGAAGGAAAGAAGAGAGAGGTGTTGGAATTTTAAGTATTGTATCTGCTCTTGATTTGCTTAAATGACTGTTGGAAATCCTTTTCATAGGCAAAATATATTTTACTTTCGTTTTATTTGGGAGTATAGGATTGTGTTTGTGGGGACTACGTGGGTTACCTGTCACCTATAGTGGGATCTGTGTGTGGTTATTTGGGGAAGGTGCATCTGTCATGCATTCCTCACTGGATCACCTCCTTTCAGTTAGGCCATGTATGTATTTGGATCCTCACAATTGATTCAGCACCGAGCAGGCTTCCTGGTACATAGTAAGGCACTCTGTACTGTAATTCACATTGCCTTGTGTTGACTAACTTAGTAAAATGGGCTGAATGGCTGTGCTGAGCCCTAAGTGTAGGAAAGTGAACGTGAGTTTTGAATCTTATAAAATGCATAGACAGAAATGAGTTGAGAACTGAGAAAAAACGTTTCACTAAAGATCTTCCAAAGGGCTTTCTCTATGTTGATTTCTGATAAACGTATGCTTATGCAGTTAGGAAGAATTGATCTAGAGTTTGGATTTTGAAGGAATAGAAAGAAAAACTCAGTTAGACTTTCTATTGAGTTCTGATAACATGGCCAGTTTTGTTCATAAATTCTTAAATTATGTTTTTTGTGTCATTGGTGGTACTGGGGATTGAATTCAGGTCCTTGGACTTGGAAAGCAGGTTCTCTACCACTTGAACCGCAGGCTCAGTCCTTTTTCTTTTAATTTGTTTTCAGATAGGGTCTTGTACTTTTTCCTGAATTGGTCTGGGACTGTGACCCTCCTACCTTCACCTCTTGAGTAGCTGGGATTACAGGCATATGCCACCATTATTCCCAGCCTGTTTTTTTGAGATAGGTTATTGCTAACCTAACTTTTTCTCCTGGGATGAGCTCAAAACATGATCTCCTAGATTCCATCTCCTGAACACCTGGGATTGCAGGTGTGCACCACCATACTTGACCCTTCTCAAATTACTTTTTTTTTTAGAACTGAGATTATACAGACCATGTCATTATATAACTATAATTAAAAGGTACTTATGAGATCTTGGCATTTTTTCATATATCTTGTTTGATTTGATTCTCACATCAGTCCAATGAGGAAGAAATTGATGTTACTTCCCTATTTTATGAGTGAGGAAATCGAGATTCAGATGAAGTCAGTTAGTTGGAGGTCACTTGGTGAATGGATGAACCATATATGAATTGCTTAGTTTTGAACTCAAAATCCCGTGTTCTCCATACCCCCCCCCTCTGGTTATCTCTGCATTTCTTTCATTGTGGAATAGTGGAAGGAACTCCCATTTTGGTGTCAGGAGATTTGGACTCTGATTCTGACTAGGTCATTGCTAGCTCTGTGATGTTGAGCAAGTTACCAAAGTCTGTGGATGCCATTTTCGTGAAAGGAGTTTACTTTATCTGATTTCTTAAGTTTCTTTGAAACTTAAGTATCTATCTATTACCTCCCAGAACTGGTATCGACTGTTTCCTTGTAATGTAAAAAGTGAGAGGAAGCCAAACTGTTGGCATTCTATACTTTGCTTTGCTCTCCCTGCTCAAGTGCAAAGAGACTTTCCATAAATAAGGAAAATCCCAGGCTCTCACAAACAGTGCTCTCCAATCTGTTTTCTGAGTTGGCATTTCTCAGTCTGTTCTTTCTGACTCATCAACAGAAGTTCTTGAGCCAACCTTTCTGTCAGTTTGAGCCCAAGGATGAACAACATCAGGTTCCATTCCTATCTGGCCCACAGGAGAAGGGTAACCTTCTTGCATTAATCCATCTGTTATTTTAGCCCTTTCTGGAATAAAGCAAATGTAAATAAAAATTACTCTAGGTTTTAAAATTCTTTCTGAGGATTTTTCAGCTTGTGGTAGGTGGCTGAGGAATGGGTCAGGGAAGATCAGTGGAAAAATTGTTTTTATATTCTACTTCCATCATTAATTCTTGGAACTGTTCACAAAACAACTTTGAAAAAACTGTAGGATACTGAGATAAGGATGTGTTTTATTGACACTGAAGAGAAAAAATAAACTATAACCAACATCATCTGCGATTACAATTATTATATAAAAGAAAACCAAAGAAGTTAGAATGGTAAACCCTGGCAGAGAGAAAGGACCCCATCCTCAGAGAGCTGGCTTTACCCTTGCTGCTTTACCCTGGCTGACGGTGACATCATTCCTGACCCCAGGCTTTATTTGGGAAGCACTGTGCCAGCTGGTGCTTGGATTCTCGTCACTCACATTCTGCCTGGATAGGAAGTTGTGCTCTGAAGTGGGAAATGAAAATGTGTGCCCATGGCAACTCTTTCCCTCTACTGGAAATCTCTGCCCCTTCTCTCTGTGATGTAGACTTTAACATTTTCCTTGTGTCTTTTCCTGTAGGCAAGAAGCGAAACCCTGGCCTTAAAATTCCAAAAGAAGCATTTGAACAACCTCAGACCAGTTCAACGTAAGTTGCCAAGATTTTTGTTTTAATTCAAATACTTGTACTTTGCAAATTTCCAGTGGGTATTAATTTTTGAACTAGGGAGAAGGGCCTTGGTTTGGGGTATAGTTATCAGAAAAATGAGCCCATTAAGGGGGAAGTCATTTGCTCACTGTTCTGAGACCTGAAATAATCAGTCTGTCAGTCAGTTGATGTTCAGTCAGTAGCCTTGAAGTTGGTATCTCAAATTATTGGTTGAGTAAGGATTTAGTATCAAATGCATTTGGCAGGTGAGGTCAAGTGTGAGGTCAGCAAGGTCCTTAGATATGGACTGCCTTGCCTTTTTCTTGTAGATTTGGAAGAACAAACAAATTCATGTGATATTCACTATCATAAAACTTGGGTTGGATGGAAAGATGGCATTTGATGAGGACCAATAACCTCATACTTAAATTCTTACCCATATAAACAGAAGGCTAAACGAAGTAAAGGAGCACATCTTTATTACCCAAGGCTTCGGTCCAAATCCCTAAGTGAGTTCAAGCCCTATTACAGCAGGACACCCTCTTTTTTTAAAAATAAATTTTTTATTAGGATATATTCATTATATGGGGGGATTCATAGTGACAATTCTGATTAGACTTATATTTTACATTATTTATATTGCCCCCATTGTCTCTCTCTCTCTCAGTCCCCTCCCCATCCCACTTAAAGCAATTGAAAGAGGTTTCTTAGTTCTGTTTCATATAGGTATATGGAGTCCATCTGTCATATACTGTCACCTTCATCTCTTTCCTTCACCCTCCCCCCTCCCACTAGTACCCCCCCACACACACTTTACCTATTTTACAGTCCTGGTTTTTCATTATTAATATTTAAGTTGATGTTCAAATGGGTTGTCTCAACGTATGCCCACTTTACTTTGGTCCATTCAACCCCTTCCATTACTCTCCCTCACCCCTTTACCTCCCCCCAGCCCCCGTTTTCAACAGCTTTCAATACACATCCTTATATCCTCCACCTTCACAGCTCATGTCATGTGATATTACTGATTCTCTATTGTTCTCTTCCTTTCCCTCTTTCCCTGAGTTCCATAGAATAGTTCCAGTGTTACAAACACGTTCTACATCTGAGTTTGCATATGATCATGCTTGTTTTTGTGAATATGTTTATCTTTGAATCTATCTTCCTTGTATGAGAGAAAACATGCCGCTTTTGTGTTTCTGATCCTGGCTAACTTCACTTAACATGATGTCCTCCAATTGCATCCATTTACCTTCAAACCACATATCCTTATTCCTTGTGGCTGAGTAATACTCCATTGTGTACATATACCACAATTTCTTGATCCATTCTTCAGCTGTAGGGCACTTGGGTTGTTTTCAAAGCTTGGCTATTATGAGTAGCGCTACGATGAACACTGGTGTACAGGTGCCTCTCCTGTATCCTGTCTTATGTTCCTTTGGGTAGGTGCCCAGGAGTTGTATCACTGGATCATATGGCAGTTCTGTCTCTAGTTTTTTGAGGAATCGCCATACTACTTTCCATAGCAGTTGTACTAATTTGCATTCGCACAAGCAGTGTCTAAGGGTTTCTGTTTTGCCACATCCTCACCAGCATTTATGGTTGTTATCACTGTTGACTATGGCCATTCTAATTGGGGTGAGATGAAATCTAAGTGTTGTTTTGATTTGCATCTCTTTTATAACGAGGGAAGTTGAACACTTCTTCATGTATTTACTGTCTATTTGTAACTCTTCCTTTGAGAATTCCCTATTTTATTCATGTGCCCCTTTCTTCATTGGGGTATTGATTTTTGGGAGGAGGAGTTTTTTGAGTTCCCTGTACATTCTGGATATTAGTCTCTTATCAAATGAGTAGCTGGTAAAGATTTTCTCCCATTCTGTGGGCTGTCTCTTGAGTCTGGTAACTGTTTCCTTTGCTGTGCAGAAGCTCTTTAGTTTGATGCAGCCCCATTTGTTCATTGTTTCTCTTGGATGCTGAGCCTTTTGAGTTCTGTTTAGGGGTTGTTCTCTGTACCTATCTGTTCCAGTGTATTTCCTATACATCCTGGAGTTGTTTCAAAGTTCCAGGCCTTATATTAAGGTCTTTGATGCACTTTGAGTTGATTTTGGTACAGGGTGAAAGTTAGTCTTCTACATGTGGATATCCAGTTTTCCTAGTAACTTTTGTTCAAGAGGCTATCTTTTCTCCATTGTGTGTTTCGGGCTCCTCTGTTGAAGATCAGTTGGCGCATAGCATAGGTTTATGTCCGGGTCTTCTGCTCTGATCCTTTGGTCTTGCTGTCTGTTTCTGTGCCAATACCATTGGTTTTATTGCTATGGCTCTGAAGTATAGTTTGAAGTTTGGTATTGTGATGCCTCCAGCATTGGACTGTTTGCTCCGAATTGCTTTGGCTATTCAAGGTCTTTTGTGTTTCCATGTGAATTTCACAATTGCTTTTTCTATTTCTGTGCAGAATATCATTGGAATTTTGATACAAATTGCTTTGAACATGTAGATTGCTTTTGGTAGCATGGTCATTTTTACAATGTTGATTCTACCAAACCATGATGGAAGATCTTTCCATCTTCTGATGTCTTCTGCGATTTCTCTCTTCAGTGGTTTATAGTTTTCATTAAAAAGGTCTTTGGTTTTTTTTTTTTTAAATTTATTCCAAGGTGCTTTATTGTTTTTGAGGCTAGTGTAAATGGGATTATTTCCCTGATTTCTTTCTCAGTCTGTTTGTTGTTGGTATATAGAAAAGCTACTGATTTCTGTATGCTAATGTTATATCCTGCTACTTTGAAGAAATAGTTTATGATTTCCAGTAGTTTTTTTGGTAGTGGTTTTGGGGTCTCTTAGGTATAGGATCATGTCATCTACAAATATGGATAGTTTGGCTTTTCCTTCCTTATTTGGATCCCATTTATTTCTTCCTCTTGTCCTATTCCTCTGGCTAGGAATTCCAAAATTATATTGAATAGGAGTGGAGAAAATAGACAGCCCTGTCTTGTTCCTGACTTTAATGGGAATGGTTTCAGTTTTTTTTCATTTAGTATGATGTGGGATCTAAGTTCGTTGTATATAGCTTTTATTATGTTGAGGAACATTCCTTCTATTCCTAGTTTCTTCAGAGCTTTTATCATGAAAGGGTGTTAGATTTTTGTCAAAGGCTTTTTCTGTGTCTATTGAAAGGATCATGCAGTTTTTGTCCTTGCTTCTGTTTATGCACTGTATTATGTTTATGGATTTATGTATGTTGAACCATCCTTGCATCCCTGGAATGAAACTCACTTGGTCATGATGTATGATATTTTTGGTGTGCTGTTGAATTCTATTTGTCAGTATTTTGTTGAGAATCTTTGTATCTATAGTCATTAAAAATATGGTCTATAATTCTCTTTTCTGGTTGCGCCTTTATTAGGTTTTGGAATTAGTGTAATGCTGGCTTCATAGAATGAGATATGTAGTGTTCTTTCCCTTTCTATTTCCTAGAAACATTTGAGGAGTATTGGTGTTAGTTCTTCTTTAAAAGTTTGGTGAAATTCAGCTGTGAAAACATCAGGTCCTGAACTCTTCTTTGTAGGAAGGCTCTTTATTACTGCTTCAATTTCATTGCATGTAATAGGAATATTTAGATGTCTAATATCTTCTTGGTTCAATATGCATCTAGGAATTTATCCATTTATCCATTTCATCTAGATTTTCCAGTTTACTTGAATATAAGTTTTCAAAGTACTCTCTAGTGATTCTCTGGCTGTTGTTAGTATTTGTGGTTATATCCCTTTTTTCATCTCTGATTTTATTAATTTGGGTTTTTCTTTTCCCTCCTCCATTTTGTCATGTTAGCTAAGGGTTTGTTGATCTTGTTAATCTTTTCAAAGAACAATCTTTTTGTTTCATTGATTCTTTGTATAGTCTGTTTGGTTTTGATCTCATTGATCTCATCCCTGATCTGTATTATTTCTCTCTGCTAGCTTTGAGTTTGGTTTGTTCTTGTTTTTCTAGGAGCTTAAGGTACATCATTAGGTTGTTTATTTGAGAAGTCTCTCTCTTTTTTTTTTTAAATGTAGGCACATACAGCTATAAACTTTCCCCTTAGCACAGCCTTTGCTGTGACCCACAGATTCTGGTAAGCTGTATTTTCATTTTCATTGGATTCTAGGAACTTTCTGATTTCTTCTTATTCTACTTTCCTGCTGTGTACTATTTTATGGTATTATTATACCACCACTCATTTAACCCTCCTGCCCTTGAAGGAAGTATGAATTGTCTTCAGTTTTGGGCTATTATTATTAAAGCCAGTATGAATATTATTATATAAGTTATTGCCTGGAAATAAGCCTTCATTTCTCTGTGATATAAGTCTAATAGTTCAATTGCTGGTTTATATGGTAAGCCCATTTTCAGTTTTGAAAGAACCTGCCAAACTGTTTTCCAGAGTGATTGTATCTCATTTTATAATCTCATAAATAATGTATGAATGATAGTTTCTCTGAATTCTAGCCATCATTTGGTGTTATGACTATTTTTTATTTTAGCCCTTCCAATGCATAGTAATATATCACTGTAGTTTTCATTTGAATTTATCTCATAGCTACTTGTGTAGAATATGTTTTTAGGTGTTTATTTTCTTTGGTGAAATGTCTGTGTATATCTTTTGCCTATTAACTAATCAGATTGGTGTTTTTGTTGTTGACATTGAGACTTTTTGTTATATATCCTAGACCCAGTTTGCGGACTGCCTCTTCATCCATTTAGCAGGATCTTTCCTAAAGCAAAAGTTTTTAGTTTTGAGAAATCCAATTTATCAGTTATTGCTCTTTCCGATTATGCTTTTGGTAATAATTCTAAGAACCCCTTACCTTGACCTACATCCTGGAAATTTTCTATGTTCTTGTCTTGAAATTTGTAATGTAAGCCCATGATCCATTTGGAGTTAATTTTTTACAAAGTATGAGGTTTAGATTGAGCTTTACATTTTTTGCCAATGGATTTCCAATTGTTCCAGTGCAAATTAT